TTCAGAGTTAGCATTGAACCACACACACTTCCTGAGATAGTATCAAGCTAGAGTGCAGCTCCAGGTTGTGGTTCTGACTCAGCTCTTTCTTCTCTAGCCCCTTGTCCCTTAATAAACTGATTTAGGGAATATTAAAACAGTAGCTTAATTGGCAACAAATATCTGCCAACTTCTAAAATTCACCATTTGTATTATGCTTTGCTGTTAAGAAAATCATTTGATATTTCTGATTTTTGTGGGAACAATTTTGCTTAGTAACAATTTTGTGGTAGGTGATTAATTATATGTCTTAATTTGGTTTTAAGGGAATTGACATAAAACTCTGCCAAACAGCAATGTCTTGCTAATTATAATGAGCTCTCAGTTTCATCTATCAGAAAAGCCTCCTCAGAATGGCTGGAGAGGGTGAGCGTAAGCTTACTACTTGTTTCCCCAGAGAGCTCTTTCTGTGCTCTGTATGCACATCTAAAAATAACAATCTTTAAGGGCAGGGAAAGAGGCTGGTGCCTGTGGATCACACCTGGGAGGCAGAGGCAGGTAGATTGCTTGAGCTCAGAAGTTGAAACCAGCCTGAGCAAAGGTGACACCTCATCTCTAAAAAAAACTAGCCAGGTGTTGTGGCAGGTGCCTGTAGTCCTAGCTATTTGGAAGGCTGAGGCAAGAGGATTTCTTGAGCCCAAGAGTTTGAGGTTGCTGTGAGCTGTGACATCATAGCACTCAACCCAGGGCAACAAAGTGAGACTCTGTCTCAAAAAAAAAAAAAAAGGCAAGGAAAGAATCTTATGTCCATATTTTCTAATTTACCCCTACAAAAGAAAGTGCTTGCTTATTTTTTAATTGGGAATCTCTTTCCCATAAGGAGATGAAAAGAAAATATAGTGTTCTGTCTTTAATTGCTTACATAAGGGATACGTCAGAGACCAGGGAGTTTAACTAAATGATTAGACTTCTTATGCTCATTAGCTCTATTATTGGTAATACTTTTTCAGATTGAATTATACTAGAACAAGGCATCTTGCAAACCTGCTATAATCTCTGCCTACACAGTGAAGTAAATGATACTAAGAATCAAAACATCAGAGACTGCACAATCCTCTATTTCTAGTCAACCCTGTCATCGATCAGAAAAGAAATCGGACAAAGATGAACAAAAAATAATAGTAGTTTTTTTCCAATCTCTTCCTACAATTCCCATTGGCAATAGAACTGAAGTACAGAACACTTGGCAGGTTTACCCCCCAAAAATTTCAGGTTGGGCAGTTGAGATAAAATCATGACTCAATACTTGCCAAATCCACCCTCACTTACCTACTCTCAGCATTACCTCCCCCAAATAATTCCTCAAATAAAAAAACTAGATGAGTCAAATCCAAATTTAAAGTATAGGAGCCAAAAAACCAAAAAACACATTGCTGGGGCAACTAACCAAAGCTTAGGGGTATGAGCCACAGACCAGAGACGCTTGTCTGCTCTTCTATCTTCCTAATGAGTAGCAGATTGGCTCTTGCCAACTAGCTATGCAAGAGGTGATGGCCAGTATAAGACGTTTGGGAAAACTGCTCGTGGAGCAATGGTCACATCAGTATTAAACCACAGCAGCTTGTAACCAACCCCATCAACTACAACCTCATCTGTCTTAGACACATATTTTAGTTCCTTCCGTTAGTTTTCAAAAATTAAAGTTTTATGTTTGGAAAATTATACATGATTCGTAAATACTGTGTAGTCATTGCTACCATTCTCTTCCCTTTTTAGGAAGAATTTCAACTTTCATGTATTAGAAAACCCTAGCCTAATACTCTACTTGAGATATTTGATGGACATGGTAGGGTGGGTATGATGAAATGTTTGAAAAAAATGTTGAACTAAGTTTTAAATAGGTTCCTATAATGAGGACTTCTCAGACCTTTTAATATGATGTGTATTACCACCTGTTTCCAGGGGAAGGGGAAGAAAGTATAAGCAGGCTGTTCAACCTTTTTTACCCCTATGTTGTACATTGGAAGAATAAGAATAATCTTGGGTAACAGATTATATACACAAATACAAGTGAAAACTGATTAATAAAAAAAGGGTCCATGCATACTTTTTGTGGTATCTGACACCACTATTTGTGCTTTTGAGACACACTTTTCCTAAATGGCACACAAACTGCAAAAAAAAAGTTTTGATTTTTCAGATTAAAAAAAATAACTCATACAGAAACTCTGAAAAATGTTACTCCTAAAGCATGAAGTATTTATTAATACTCCCAAAAAGTTTTTTTTTTTTTTCTTTTTGGAGACAAGAGCCTCATCCTGTTGCCCCGGCTAGAGTGCCATGTTATCAGCCTACCTTACAGCAACCTCAAATTCCTAGGTTCAAATGATCTTCCTTTCTCAGCCTCCCAAGTAGCTGGGACTATAAGCACCCACCATGATGCCCAGCTAATTTTTCTATTTTTGGTAGAGACAGGGTCTCACTCTTCCTCAGGCTGGTCTGGAACTCCTGAATTCAAGGGATCCTCCTGCCCTAGCCTCCCAGAGTGCTAGGATTATAGTAGGCATGAGCTACTACACCCAGCCAATATTCCAAATAGTTTATTTGTAACATGCAACTTCTAAAATGAGTTTTCTACACCCAAAAAAACAAAGACCAGAAAATGTAGTTAGTTCCGGATTTAAATCCTCTCATTTAGCATGTATGTGAAACTGAAAATGACTTGGCCATGAGCATTTTCCTCACTTAATAAAGTACAGATAAGAATGCCTGCTTTGTGTGGTTGTTTTCAGGATTACATGTAAGGGACCTGGGCAAAGCAAATTAATAGGCTCTCAATAAATGCTGGCTCTTGTTATCATTTCTACCCTGCTACAACATCATCCAAGATCCACTCCTGGTATCCTGAATACCTGGTCAACTGGTTATGGTCTTGAGACAGCTGAGGAGCAAGAAAATAAAATCCACACATAGGCCATTTGTCATATTACTGTTTTTTATTACAATATGTATAGTGTATACTAATTTAAAGAGAAAAATGTTAATAAAATGAAAGTCTAAATAACTCTTATTTTAACAATCCATTTATATTATGTCTCAGATTTTAAAGAATCATCTCTGCGAATTTTAGATCGAAAAATGAATAGATGAAAGTGACACAAGAGTTAAGCAGTAAAAAGCTGAAATTAAAATTTACATTGGCTAGAACTGAACATTCACAGACAACTTTCTCCAAAGGAAAATCTAACTTAACTCAAAAAGTCCACTTTTTTGAGTTTAATATCGTGTCAATTAGAAACCCAGGACCATATGAAAATATTTTTACTTGGTCGCATTTGACTATCTAAAACCCTCTGCGCATACTATCTGGCATGTCTTACTCCTCTGAGACAACTGTCTACTTTCTGAAACCAGAAGTGTGAGTCTGTTTGTGATTTAAGCTTCAAGAAATAGTTTGTAGGGCAGCGCCTGTGGCTCAGTCAGTAGGGCGCCAGCCTACTGAATATGGCGGGTTCAAACCCAGCCCTGGCCAAACTGCAATGACAACAAAAAATAATAAAAATAATAAAAAATAGCCAGGCATTGTGGTGGGCACCTGTAGTTCTAGCTGTTCAGGAGGCTGAGGCAAGAGAATCACTTAAGCCCAAGAGCTGAAGGTTGCTGTGAGCTGTGATGCCACAGCACTCCACCAAAGGCGACAAAATGACTCTGTCTCTAAAAAAAAAAAATAAATAAATAAAATAGTTTGTAGAAAACTATCAGCTAAAGAATCATGCTAAAGTCTTGTTTTAAAAGTCTTACCTTTCCTTCACTGTACAGCAGCTACTTCTATGAATAAAGAGTATGTGGATACTTTTTAAGAATTCAAAATGAGAAAATCCAAAACAGAGGTCTGGGTACATGAACATATGTGCACACATGTATCACACTTGATCCCCCCACACCCCCAAAACAGGTTTAAATAGTTAAAATAGCCCATTATTCTAAACTCAGAATACAGATATACACTGTTTATAAATCAGTGGTACTACTAGACAGAATGTTTAGTTAGAATACTGCACCTGTAGTTCAGAGGTACTTTGATTAGATCCCATGAAAAGAAAAAACATTCAAAATAATAAGCACATTTTTCTAACAGCAAAGAATTCTCCCACTTTTTATTAAGACATACTAATACTTCCATAAACTTACAAGATAAGCTATTCAATAAAAGCCTTTTCCTATACATATAATACACAGAAATTATTTTAAAAGTCTGTTCATATGACAGATTCTTTTGGTACTAACAAAAAATTTCAGATACAAATAATTGACTAGAAATGAAACCATCACTTAACCAAGATACATAGGACTTTACTGCACTTCATTCCAGGAAAAAAATCCAAATAATTCTTACTGTGTTAGAAGAATAAAGTACATTTGTCATAATATAACATTATTGTGTTCTCTTAAAGCAGAGACTATTTAAAGTTTTTAAATTAAAAAATGTTCAGGCTTACTTCTGTAAACAATCATTACTGGTTACACATAATTCTCTCATCATGCAAAAAACCTCAGTTAGTTGTTTTCTAAAGTCTATTGACGTCAAACAAACTAATAACAGCAATTTTATTAGTAAGCTATAAATCAGAGAGGTATAGAAATTCAGCAATTGAACTGTATTTCCTATCTACAGTACTACTGCTACTCAATCTATCTTCTTCACATTTTAGAAGAACTAATAGGCATTGATGGTCAAATTAAGAATTTCATTATTGCAGCAAATGACAGAACATGTGACAGAAAGAGAGTTCCTCATGTCATGACAATCTTTATGATCCTTTAAGAGGTAAAGAATTTTATGTGCTCCTTTTCTGTGAAAAGGAATAGAAAACAAAAGCAGGAGGTTAAGCCAGGTACATACAGGGGGTGCTTGGATACCTATATTGGAACTATATTTATTACAAAAAAAAAAATGATCTGGAGTCTGCCCGATGCACCAAAAATCCCCCCCAAAAAACAATCAGAGCAGACGTTAGTGCAAGTTTAACCTGATAATTTATTTGTGAAAAAAAGGTAGTTCTGATGAGAAAAAGTTCAGTATTTTCCTTGCAAACACAAAGACACTCAATAGGAATTTTTAAGGTAGTAGGGTCAGAAAATGCAACAGTCAACTCTTATAATTTTTTTCAATTAAACAGATAAATCAAGTTTAAGACAGATGATAAAATACTTTCCAGCCTGAACATTCATCAGCCTATAAATCCTGTTGTTCCAATGGGTTTCTGATTAAAAAAAACAAAACCCAAGAAATTTTTTATAAGAGCTACCACATCTAGAAGTGATGAAAATAAATTAGTCCCCCCCCCAAATACTGTTTAAAGCATAAAAAGCTATATATCTTATAAAATTAACCAGTGTTCTTACAAAAGTAATACAATTTTGGACTGATGATGTTACACTGTATTTGTGGCGAAGTACTAGGCACAAGAATATATGTAACAATTAGGCATTTTCAGTCTATTCAGTCTATGGTTATCATTTAATTCTTGGCAATATACAATAACTGGTATGCATTTTGGTACTTAAGTCATGAATTGTGGAAACAAGAAGCAGTGCATTGATACTAACGGGGTCTAACAAACAATTACAGTATTGAACAAATATTTTCTATGAACTTTGTGATTTGTTTTGCTGTTGGTTGCTTGTAGTAGATCCTGCAAAGACAAAAGAAAAACAAGTCAACATAATTTGTTGTATATTGCCAACACTGGCTAAATTTTCCTTACAATGGCATGGATGATAAACAAATACAAAAATATCAAAAACAAATAAGGCATATTTCATGTAGGCTGAGTAAGACTGATATTCTAAAGACTAAAATATTCTAAAGAGCAGAACAGAAGTGTCTATTTGATGACAGGACAAACAAATTTCAGACTGAATAAATCACAAGGGGAAATTTAAGTTTATTACAACTCAAATATCTGAAGTTGTAAGATTTGTATTTATTACTTCAAAACTATAAAATATTACCTCAAGGTTTAAACATGCTATGTTTCTCCAAAAAAATAGGTGTAACAGAGGAAGGAGAAGACTGCCAATGCTCAAAAAAGTAACGGGTTCTATAGAACCTGGAGATTTTATTTTATTTTTGAGAGACAGAATCTCACTTTGTTGCCCTCAGTAGAATGCTGTGGCATCACAGCCCATAGCAACCTCGAACTCTTGGGCTTAAGTGATTTTCTTGACTTAGCCTCCCAAGTAGCTGGGACTACAGGTGCCCACCACAACACCTGGCTATTTTTTAGAGATTGGGTCTTGCTCTGGCTCAGGTTGGTCTTGAATCTGTGAGCTCAGGGCAATCCACCCATCTCAGCCTCCCAAGTGCTTGGCCTAGAGATTTTAAAAGCTGGTAAGGTGTGTTTAAGAGCCCCAAAAGGGTAAGAGACAAATAAAGTAATAAACTTATTTTGCTAAATCTTACAAAAAATATATTTATGTACTAAATGTGTAACATTTAATGTCTTAACCAAAGATAGACAAAATGCCAGAGTTATTTTTCAAAAGCTATGTTTTTTTATAAAAGCCCCTTTATTTTAATCTTTGGCACAGTGGTATTGATACAAATTTCTAGTGGTAAATGAGGGATATTCCTAGCACTTTAGTATAGTCACTTAGAGGTGATACTGAAAATGAGTCAAAATTTATGAAAAGTTATAAATTATATTTATTTGAATATAACAACAGAAACTATCAAGACATAGGTAAAATGAGGAATGAAGACCCCATGGCAATTAGGAGATAATCTAAAAATAACAGATTTTTAAAAAGAAAGAGAGACATGTAAGAATTACTACTTAAGATGAACTTTGTTCAAGTTAAATATAAGCTAAATAGACTATGGTGTATACAATGGAAATGAAATCCAGTATGATAAACAGACTAACAGGCTAAAAAGCACAACATGGAATAAAAATACTGTAATCCTGATACAAGACAGTGACTCATCAGGGTATATCACAGAACTATTCATACATATTTCAAACTATGCTCACCAAAATAGTATTATAGTCATCATTTACCTTCTTCCTGAGACTTAACCATACTAGACACCACAAAGGAAAGTGCCAGCAATGCAAGTACAAAGAGAAAATAATGGGCAAAAAACCCTACTTCATTAGTGGTACAGGAGATTCATGTTCATTCACCTTCATTCAACATCAGAGTAACAGTTTACCAAAAATAAATAAATAAAATCTATTTCTTATGATTGATCTTGACCTAACCAAGAGTTGCTAGGCTACAGAGGCTGGTTCTCCAAGACTTAAAAAAAAAAAAAAAAACCAATCCAATTATTTGTCAATCCAATAGTGAAAAGAATCAACATTGGAAAAACACGACATCCTTTTATTGAGAGGGACATCAAAACAAATCTTCCACATTCTATTTTTTAAAAAGGTTTTAACCTTTAATTTAGATTGTCATTCCAAATGAAGTATGACCTGATCTGAAACATTAAAAAAATATAGAGCTTAACCTGAAGACAAACATCCAGCCAAGAACACCATTTTCAAAAAGCCATATAATGGGGCGGCACCTGTGGCTCAGTGAGTAGGGCGCTGGCTCCATATACCAAGGGTGGCAGGTTCGAACCTGGCCCTGGCCAAACTGCAAAAAAAAAAAAAAAATAGCCAGGCGCCTGCAGTCCCAGCTACTCAGGAGGCTGAGGCAAGAGAACAGCCTAAGCCTAGGAGTTGGAGGCTCTGTGAGCTGTGACACCACGGTTCTCTACTGAGGGCAATAAAGTGAGGCTCTGTCTCTTTAAAAAAAAAAAAGCCATATAATGAAATATATGGTCTTAAATCAAATTTGGGCACAAAAAACTTTATTATTCTGAAATTGGCCACTGGGATTGAAATTGTAAAAACATATTTCATAATAATAAAATGAATCTCAGCAAATTTTTCATAAGTTTTTCACAACTTTAAGGCAAAATAAAGTATATAATTTTAGATACAGAGGATCACAAAAGTTTCAGTGGTATTTTCAAAACATCTAACCTTGACTTGATTCTTCTGTATTCATGCTTTCTCCATCTGCAGTCTCTAACATTTCATCATCTTCCTCATCATCATGTAGGTCTTTCGAAATTAACTGTCTAGCTAATTTAATATTCAGTCCTTCATTGTAGTGAAGTTTCCTTTTCATTTCAAATTGTCGCTTTTTTTCTATAAGACACAAAAAAGCCAGTTTAGGAAGTTTTACCTCAAGGATTGATCCATGCTTGTTTTACAAATAAAGTTTTACTGAAACATAATCATGCTCATATGTTTTTGCCTTGCTTAAGGTTGCTTTTGTGCTCACTGGCAGAGTAGAGGAGTTTGCAACAGAGATCACTGGGCCAATAAAATCTAAAATAGTTCCCATCTGCTGCTTTATAGGAAAAGTTTGCCAACCTCTGTTTTAAATGCTTTTAAGTACATCTCAATGAAGAACAGGAATAAGATAGAGCCATTAGAAGTTGTATTTGTGAAGAAAATCGAAAGCTATGGGAAAATTATCCAGAAAAAGTTGAATGGGAAAAAAATAAAGGAAGCAACAGTACCATCTACTGTACATATCATGTACAAAGCCTGTACCCATACCCACACACAGGAAGTAAGACTCAACAATTAACAATGGTTAATTCAGGGTCAAGGAACTATGAGATAGTTTGAACATTTTCATATTTTTTATTTTTATAATTAAGAAAAAGTCCTTATTATCTGTAAGAAACTGATGATTTAAAACATTGTTGACTAAAAACATAACCTCATTCCCAGAGTAACTTTTTAAGAAAAACTTCTTATAAAAGAATGGTGAAGTGATTCCAGATTATTCTCTCACTTATAGTCTATACCATGGAAACAAAGCTGGCAGCAATTCAATACAACTAATTGCATTTAATAGATAGCTCTTCAAAGAGCAACTTTATGAATAAATAATTACAGTATTTAAAAATGTCTTAGGTTTATTTTGTCAATGAAGAGCATTAAAATTCATTCACCAATGATTTATTAACGTTTAATTAAATTATCTTAATGTCACAAAAGCAGACATCTCTCAATAAAATGATTCAAAGTGCTTTTTTTTTTTTTTTTT